GTCGCAGCAGGAGGAGATCTACACAGAGAGCCAGGCGAAGGAGTGCTTTGACAAGGCGACCGTCGAGGTCCCGGTGGGCAGCCTGAAGGGCCGGACAATGACCATCTGGGAGCTGATCCACTCCGAGTACTTCACAGAGGAGCACAGGCGGGAGCTCCTCCGACAGTACAAGACTGGCAAGGTGACCATCGAGAAGATCATCAAGATCGTCATCACCATCATCGAGGAGGCAGAGACCAAAAAGAAGGAGAAGCTGACGTTCAGCGGTCTGCGGGCACCTGTACCTGCCAGCGAGCTGGTGGAGTCCCGCATCATCAGCAAAGCCCAGTACGAGCAGCTGAAGGAAGGCAAGAAGTCGGTGAAGGAGCTCTCCGAGACAGACGCGGTGAGGAGATTCCTGCATGGCAGTGACTGCATTGCCGGTGTCTATGTGGAGGCGACCAAGGAGAAGCTGAACATCTACGAGGCCATGAAGAGGAACCTGCTGAGGCCCAGCACTGCTGTGGTCCTCCTGGAGGCCCAGGCGGCGACTGGGTTCTTGATCGACCCCGTGAAGAACCGGAGACTGTACGTCAACGAGGCCGTGAAGGCTGGTGTCGTCGGGCCTGAACTGCACGAGAAGCTGCTATCGGCCGAGAAGGCTGTCACTGGGTACAAGGACCCCTACTCGGGCAACACCATCTCCCTCTTCCAGGCCATGAAGAAAGGACTCATCGTCAAGGAGCACGGCATCCGCCTGCTGGAGGCCCAGATTGCCACCGGCGGCATCATCGACCCCGTCAACAGCCACCGCCTCCCCGTGGAGGTGGCCTACCAGCGTGGCTAATTCGACGGGGAGATGAAACGGATCCTCTCCCACCCCCCCCCCGACGACACCAAGGGCTTCTTCGACCCCAACACCCATGAGAACCTCACCTACATGCAGCTGAAGGAGAAGTGCATCGAGGACCCTGAGACGGGCCTGTATCTGCTGCCTCTGCGGGAGCCCGAGAAGCCTACCATGGTGGAGACCACCCGGGTGTACACGGAGGCAGAGACACGGAAGGTGTTTGAGGAGACGCAGGTGGAGATCCCCCGAGTCAGCCGGCCAG